CTACAAAACCACACTGCCATGGCCGAGCTGCTACGACGTCTTTTCCAACAGCCTAAATGGCTGTTAATAGATAAAGTGCCTGACCAATTGCAGCGCAACTACAATTACGTCAAAGAGGAAGCATTTGGGCTGACAACTTCGCTTAAACGGACGGCCGACGAGTCCTTTGGGACAACCACCTCTTCCTCAAAGCGCCCAAGGACATCCTGTCGTGATGAAAACGATGTGATACGCGATGGAGATGAAGAGCGACCTATCTCCAGTCTAGCAGCCACTGACGATCCGTTCTTTCGTCGTTAATCCAAGGCGCACACCGCACCTTCCCTTATACATAGATCGTTACTACTTCACATTTATTCATACATTTATCCTATCCCAAGTCCAACTGTAAGCAAGTCCAACTGTAAGCTCATGTGCGCGAGTAGCCACATTGTCTGAGTCTGCTTCCTCGCATTCATCCAAGTTGTCGTTTTCGCGCCGAACGTCGCTCCGCGCGTCTTCGAGCGAACGTAGGAAGAACTAGCGAAGGTGAGAGAGAAATAGCTATTGTGAATTGAATATTTGGCAACGGATCTGAATTTCGATCCTTCATCAATTCCACATATGCTGGCCTGCATCGCGTCCGGAGTCATTCCAAGACCTGAAAAAGAGTCTTCCAGCAATTGTACCCGATATATGTGACTGCGGCGAAGAGGGCGACATTGATCTAGTGCGCGACGCCCCAAAACGCCATAATTGATGCTTGACGACGTTTGGGCAAGCCTCACTAGCATCGCCTGTGGTCCGCGTATCCCGATAGAATTTGCTATAGTTTCAACTCATTGCCTGACTGACTATCCTTGACTGGCAATGTCTGCGGCCAATAGGTTGCTCAACGAGACAGGCGACGGTACCTCAATAGAGTCAGGGCGTTAGACTGGACTCGACCCCGATACTCAGGTCCGCGACCAGCCTTTCAGTCCTCAGGTGAACTCTGATCAAACGATCAATTAAGCGTGAAGAGCGTAGCAATATGACATACCACAATATCATGCCCTCGCAGTCTAAGAGGAATGAAGTATCCAATCGTGACATTCCCCCACGCGACCAACAATCTCCTTCGTTGGTCTTTTGCAGCCGCATATCCTCTTTCCCAACTTCCATGACCAATGATCACAAACCTTGTCTTCTCCCTGCGCCTATGCTCTGCAGGTAGCTCGCTTTCTAGCCTCACTAGTCCCTTCTCGGCTGACGAATGCTCCGAACTAAGGGCCGGCTGAATTCCATACACGCCATCCTTCGTGCAGAGAACAGCGTCAATACCAGGATAGTTTCCAATCCACGGACGATAATAAAATGATGGAGGGACGGATGTCAAGTTTCCAGGCAGGCGATATTGTAGACTCGGTAAACCATGCGAAAAGTGAGCTCCCATTCATCATCGACTCGTGCACAAAACGTTCAAGCAAAGCACTAGCAATGCCACGTGAGGCAGCATGATGAGAAAATCGCTCGAGGCGTATGACCTGGTGAATTGCGGTCCTGGAAAATACAGCTTTGTATATTTCTGTGGAGACTTCAGTAGCTGCAGGCATGAATGATTCAGGTACACATCGGTGCACATCCGCCGCTGGGCGTATCCACAACACAGGAGAACAGGGGCCTGACGTACAAATGTTTGTGCAGCACGCTCGATGGATGCGAGAACAATGTCTTCAACGGATGGGTCTGTGGAGGCTCGAACCAGATCGCGAGGTGATGGACCCCATTTAGAGGCAAGGTCGAGAAAGTCTCGGACTGCGTGCTGCCCCCACAAACAGCGTCTATTCATAGTCAACTAAATTGTGCGCCTGAAAGCAGCAAAGAATATACGCAAGCGCGGCAGGTTCATTCCTCTCCCAAACGTTCATATAGTATTTCATCGCCAGATATCCCTTGGTCCATCCTCTCCAGCGAGCTTCAAGAGGAGAAGCAGCCTGGATTACGTGGAACGTGCCATCGAAGAAGGCCGATGCAGGTATCGTAGTATATGTATTAGAATCTGATAGACACCAGATATGAGGGTATTCATTGAGACAGGTTGAATTGACACTTGATGATGCGGTGACGCTGTGCTCATCGATTAGAAAAGAATGGGGATCGCGCAGCTGAAAAGCCGCCGGCAAACCAGCCTTCATGCGTTCTATAAACAAATAGACCAACAAGAATGATTTCCCTTTGAAGATTCGATCTGTCCGTCACGATACAAGTGATATAACATGAATTTCACTTACCGATTCCTGGCTGTCCGATAATCGATACACCTCTAAGATCCTTCACAGCCAGGTCAGGCTGGAACTCGCCGACCAAATACTGCCATGCATCAACATATTCCTGCCGAATGAGCAGATAGGGTTCGAGGGCGAGACCCAACTTTGGGAAAGACATGCGATGGGCACGCAGACCGAGGTACTTGCATTCATGAGTTCCGCCAGCAACATTGACGACCCCTGAATCCAGAAGAGCGTCAGGGTTCATCTAGACAGCGTCACGCAGGGCCTCCAACACTGCAGTCTGATTGGTTCTATAAATAATGTGTGAATCAAATGGCTGCAAGCGGAGGAACTTCGCGTACTGTAGTTCATGTTTGAAATGGTCAGGACTAGAGAGAAGAGAAGAGATCAACATGTCTTTTCCTATGTAAACTCCTCATACTACAAGCTTCGAGCTTCAAGCTCCATATACATATTGCGCATTGGACCTCACGAAATTCAGACATACTTTACGTAGTACTTATACACGTTTGATAGCAGTGACTCGTTTTGATCGTCACTGTCAGTGGTTACTCCATATCTCATATCCATGGGGGTACTCTCAGCACGTGACTATTTCATACGCAGGGCCCGATGACGTCACGCAACCCCGCGTATACTCACTGAGCGAAACTCGACACCCAAGTGCATGCTAGGGAAGACGAACAATGTGAGTTCCGAAATATGCCAGCTTCAGAATCATTCGAAAGCATATACGTGGACACAATTCCACACTCAGGCATTGAGCAGTGCAGCCGATTACTCATGTATCAACGAGAATGGTATTATGATCCATGATAGAAGATGAGGTGGGGTGGAAGCAACGTCCAATACGGTGGTCGTCTAGATGCACTATGACCAATGTAACCGGAGTATTATAAGCGGTACATAGTAAATTGTCTATTGCGTGGAACGGCGTGCTCATGCGGTCTAGGACAGAAAAAATAAGTGGCCGTTCAACACTACAAGTGACAAATCCACGCACCGACTCCTTCAACCAAGTAATGAGGTCGTTGCGATCCTTGTCCTTCTTGAGACCAGCAAAAGCCATCTTCGTACCAGGAATGTACTACAACATAAAGTGTCAAAAATACTGTGAACACTGTGACGTAGCAAATGACCACTACCTTTTTGGGATTCTCAAGATACTCGAAAAGCGTGTCCTCCTGCCAAACAACACCCTTGTTCACGTTGGCAGCAGTGTACGAGAAGCCCTCGACCTGACCGGTCTTGCGCCCAAAGAGGCTGATCCATGAGATCGTCAGCCCCACAATCGTCAGATGAAGACAGCGGCGACGTACCCATGCAAGTTGGGGCCAACCTTGTTGGGCTCACCCGCACCAACAGTGTGGCATTGTGCGCACCGCGTCTTGAAAAGACCGGCACCCTTAGCAGTGTCACCTGGAACACGTACATTCAGCTCTTGTCGCTTCACCAATTGACTATGGAGCAGCTACGAACCTGGCGCGTAAGGCATTTCTAGTGTCTAGAGTCGTGAAATAGGGCAGGGAATAGATATACAGCGAGGCGAACGTAACCCAAAGGATGTGCTCGAGAGCAAAGTGGTGATGACGCTTGCGGTGCGTCCAAATTTTAGTTTTAAAGGCAAGAGGGACCGGTTTTTCCCGGTGGTCTACGTCGACCAATCAACGGGCGCCGAATCTGTCCGCGAGGTCCGTTTCAACCTCGGACCGCCGACACCGATCTGACGACTGAAGGCCGCGCCCGGCCGACGTCTCCGGGAAGCGCAGATAACGTGGGTCCGGGCCGTGGGAATACAAGCTTGTTGAATGCACAGAGTGTGGGAGAACAGTTGAAACTCCGCTTGTCCGGTTTGCCTCTGCGCCGTCTCTATCGCGCGCGCGTCGGCGAACGCGCCTCCCGTCGTGCTCAATTCCTGCTACGACGATCACACTACCTGGCTGCTCATCTTGGGGGTCGCTTTATCAGATATATGAATGCCAACTTACGCTCAAGCCACAGTGGAAGTCCAGATGATACCCGCTAATTCCCAGCCATCCACATCGAAACGGAAAGGACTTGAAGACGCGAATCCACTCGGAAATGCAGCAAAGAAGTCAAAGAAAGAGGTATGTACGTGGTTTATGCTGTGACTTCATGTTTGCTTGACCTCTGCTACAGCTAAAGAGCAGTAAGCGCAAGCGTACGTTTTCGTTCGCGTCTAGGACGCGTTTATGTGCTGACATCGCGCTATGCAGTCAACGGAGAGGAACAACCTGGTGGTCTGGTTATTGTCCGCGCTCCGCCATCGCGTCGACGCAGCTCGCAGGGCAGCGATACCCTACCTGTGACACTGTCCCAATCCCAATCCCAACCGCGAGCTTCGTCCCGTCCTCCATCCAGTCAATCACAGCGCTCCCAGCCCTTGGATTCGTCTAGACAGCCATCGAAGAAGTTCAAAGCCGATGGAAGCACCGCGGCGCCACGTCAACCGGCGAAGGGCAAGAGCAGAGAGGTTATGGATAGCACGCGAGCTGATCCGGAGATGGAGGAGGATATGCGGCTCATGCAGTCTGAGGCAGACACGCTGCGCCGCAAGTCACAAGCTGCTGGGAGCTCGCTGGGAGCGCTCCATTCCGACTTCCCGATTCTCCCTAAATCGAGTAGACCGCTGGCGCCTCCATCACAACAAAGGATACACGACGCGTCTATACCGGTTCCTCTGCAGGAGACTCCACAGATTGAGCGAAATAGATTCATGCGCGGGGATGCACCCACCCATAGGCGGAAGAGCTCTCTCAGTCGGGGAAAACGCATCAGCTCTAGCTATGAAGCTACGGGCATCATATGTAAGATACTATGGCTTCTTTTGTTTTCCTTCTAACAATGCTTATTGTCTATAGCCCAGCCTCACACTTCGGTATCCGACTCCAGCTTCCACAAACATATTGATGCTGATCTACCAGAACCAGCGCGCGTTCGCCAGTTGTTGATCTGGTGTTCGCACCGAGCCATGAACGAGCACTCAGGGGAGTTGCAGTCGCAGCAGGCATCTTCCTCTAGAAAACGGGAGCCACAACAGTCCGGAAAGGATCCACCACTGTCGTCGGAGGGACTCCAGGTGTTAAAGCGAACACAGGAGAGGGTGATCAAGATGCTTGCGGAAAAGCAGATTGATACCAATATTTATGTGATAGACGACGAGCCTGATGTCGTGGGATCTAAGCGGGAGAACGAGCAAAACGTGAAAAATCGAGCGCGAGAGATCAAGTTTAATGCGCACATTCAACGGTACGTCTTCTGGTTCTACACTGAGAAATGTTTGTTGAGCGAGGATGCTACAGATCGAAGGCGGAGGAGGATGCGTGGATGGAAGTGGTGCATCACTACAATGCATATCGAGCCGAAGTTTTAGCTGACCTTGACAAGCACGAATCCGCGAAGGCTAAAGGCAAGCAACGTGCTTCTCCTGATGAAATCGACAAGTGGGATGTGGATGAGCGTGTGCTGTCGGAACAGTTCCGAGGCGGCGAGGGTGTCGACTTGGCGCGGAAAGTAGTTAGCTCTGGAGCGGATGACAAGGATCCTCTTCGTATACGTCTAGATGACCTGGAGCATACGGTACGTTTAGTTCAATATCGGTCTGGTTTGCATGTCGCTTATTCGCGTGCCTCGCAGATGGACCGTCTTCATGCACTCACTAACTCCGCTCTTGAGACAACTCGCATGGCGGAGGCCGATCTCAATCGCCGATTCTCGTTGTTGAACGTGTCTCTCGCAAGCCGCTCTCAACCGGCATCATCGACGCTCCCCTCTAGCTCCGGTGCCTTGTCGTCATACCTCCCTCCGAGTCTTTCACGGCCACCGCCAACAACGGATCCACAGGACTTGCTGCGTGCGCTGTCTCGCATCGATGCCACACGGCCGCATAATAAGGTCGGCGATGCGGCCAGACGAGCTGTCAGAGAGGTGCAGCGCGCTACGGACGCTTCAAGTGGTGTGGCGGAGAGGCGGCTAACGGGGGTTCCACCACCAACACCCCGTAAACCTCCAGGAACGCCGCGGAGGGCAACTACTCCAGGCAAGGGGAGGTGATGGTGTATGCTGCATTCTCCTCTTTGTTGCTTCATGTTTTGGGTCGGTCATTGCTCTTTGTAGATGTCCGACTATCTCGCGACTTTTCCCCACTTCGTTCTGTCCTTTCGCCGGTTTGTTTCGTGGCTGCTCTGATCTTCGGTTCGAAATTTGTCGCTGTTCGGCTCGTTGCTGTGTGTAACTTTTCCTCGTCGTCTTTACCCCGTCCCGATCCTGCGCGCACATTCCCAGCTTGCCTCGGTTCGTCAGGAGCGGAGGCGGGTCGTCACGCACATATGTATTCGTATTTTTGAATATTTTGCTGTAGGTCAGAGCCGCGTCTGCTCGGAAATGTAAAAGACATTCGTAATGTGTAGCTCTAGAGCGCTTATTTCCCTCCGACTAAACGTCACTACCGCATGATGTCGTGCGCGCTCCAATTCAATTTCTGCTTTCTCTCTCCGTCTCTGCTTCATAGCAGCAACAGGCAATTCTTGACCCGAGCCTCTGCTTAGAAAATTCTGGGCTGACTGCTTATTAACCCATAAATCTGAGAGCTTTTGCTGCATATGATTTGCGCGAAACAGGTCTTCCAATGCTTCAGGTGCCTTGAACGTGCTGGGGACAAACTCACTGGCGCTGCGGGCCCCGTATTTGTGACATTGGGTGTAGTTCTCCTCTCAGGTGGCGCGATCTGTTTTTGTAGGTTGGAACGAGTGGGCTCGGGAACGGCCCGCATCATCATGCAACAACAACTGACCACCTTCCTTTAGTCGAAGTCGTGCGTCCCTCGCTCCCATTGCCATGGCTGACGACACCAATCTGCGCACTCATCGCGTTCAACTTGCTCATGCACTACTACTGGGTCTGTACAGTCTCCCCAGGCTTTGTTGAGGACCCGCCACGTTCGCCGGGGTCGGGGCTGATGTGGGCGGGAAAACGGCGCAGCGCGAAGTACAGAGCGTTGACGGGCGTGCGGTGGTCCGACGACGTCCACATCACGAAGGCAACCGTCATGCGTTGCCGGAGGTGCCAGGCGGTGCGGCCAGAGGTGAGCACGCGAGCTGATCTGGGGTTTACATAAGAGGTGCTGAGGTATGCGGTGCACGGAGAGGTCCCACCATTGCCGTATATGCAATCGTTGCGTGTTGAAGTATGATCATCATTGTCCAGTACGTTCTTGTTATCTATCATGAGCTTCGCAGATGTGTGACTTGTGTCTATCCAGTGTATGTCTACTTTATACCGGTGTCACTCATCGTCGTTTATGATGATCAACAGGGATAAACCAATGCGTCGGCTTGCACAACGAACGACATTTTGTCTTATTCCTGTGAGTGTCTTTTTGCTATTCTCCAACCACATGCTCATGTCTTATTCCGGCACTAGCGTCTACCTTGTTGTGTCGACGTTCTGTTATGCAGCGTTCGGCTGGGGCCGGTTTCTCGCTGCAATCGGTTGGGCTAGTGTAAGTCAACGTTTATTCCATCTGGCATCGCCGCATCACAAACTGAGACGAAACGCGTACGTTATTTCTGGCTGTGCCAATAACTTCCCTTGGTACCTCTATCTTGGTTTTCTCAACATATCGCGTCTTCATTACCTCTGATTATTCACCACTTGCAGAACAAATGGTCACACTACTCTCCAGAAATAGCGTTCATTGTGACGTATATCCTCTCAGTTGTCTTATGTATCGCTGTCTCGATCATGACTGCGTGGCATGTCTGGAGTATTGCGCGCGGCGAGACGTCCGTGGAAGCGACCGATCACGAGCAGTATCGTAAGATGGCCTCTCAACGTGGCGAGGTATGTGTATGTGACAACAATATACATACCGAAATGCTCTAACAAACTCGAACATAGATGTTCGAAAACTCATATGATATCGGGTGAGCATTTCAACATTAGGCATTAAGTGAAGTCCTGTGACAACCTTGGAAGAAAATGGAAAAATCTTCAGTTATTCTTCAATGTCGGGAAAGACGGGTAGTGAGTGGTGCCGTTGTGCGAACCACCGATAGCCAATAACACCCTTTCCTCCAGTCCGATATATACTCTCTTATTCCCCTTCCGTATAGAGCCATACACCGATGGACGATCATGGGCGCGAAAGCCTGGCTATCATAGACACGGTGGACTGCGTGAGGGAGACGAGCTCACTGACGGAGATGAGGATGAGTGAGCCAGATTGTATTCCAAATCAAGTATTCCCTACATTAGCTTTCGTGGAGGCTGATTACAGGATTATCGTGCTGGTGAGTGATTATGTCCTATGCGTACACAAGATGACAATTTGCCGGGGCCATATGACCCTTCGGAGGGCAGTCTATTTCTCTTGACGAATATGGCTGCCTTCGGGAAGAGGGTTGATCAACGTCCGGCTTCCGCATGCACATCCGTGTGCCTTGCCTTGTTCTGATCTTCATTCGCTTTCGTTCCTTGCAACTAAACCTTGCTCACTCGACACTTTATTAGATGTGCAGCCAACGTAGTATGTGCGCTTCGATACCTCTGAAATTGGCATTTCAAGGCGCATCTCGAATGTCGTACAGCGTGTCTCGTGTCAGACTCCGTATATATCGCATTCTATTTGTCTATATACCGCATGCAGCGTCGGGAGATACAGGCCAATAATCATCAATTAAACGCTACATCGAGTGTTTCTACAATTACCAGGGTCGCAGCTTCTCCAACATGAACAAATCATGCTCCTTCAACATTATAGAATCTGGCTTTACACCCGTTGGCCCATTAAGGGCAGGATATTCGTTCAGTGAGACAGGATAGCGCGCTTCCCTTGCTTTTCCGCACCAATCAAAGTCTATAATCATCGCAGCATCATCCTTGGTCAAAACGTTGGGTTCCCGAAGGTCTCCGAACACAAGATCGCACGAATGCAGCAACTCGATCGCTTTGCTGGCGTCTTCAAATTAGTGTTTAGAGAGGGAACTCTTCGGCAGCCCTTGATCAATAAAGTCCACCACGATCATGTATCGTCCGCCATACAGTGGTGATTGCGGGTTCTCTGTATCAGCATAGTGCAGAAATGGTGCCATTAGACGATCAGCCAGGATACGGTGAGCCTGTGTATTATATCCTAACACAAACTTCACGACCACGAGATGATCAGAGTGATCAAGCTTCGCCTTGTATAGGAGTTTGCAGGGATAATCTGGTGCAAGGCGTGCCAGATACGTGAACGTCGTCGAGTTAAATTCTTGCATAAATGGAAAGGGGTCAAATGTCGACGCGGGCAGAAGTGGCTTTGAGAGACTTGATTCGAGAGATTGATAGTACGTTTCGAAGGAGGAAATGGCGGTCTTCAAGGCAGCAAAGAGTCGCGACGCATAGAGCAGTTCGGCCTCGGTTAAAGCGTCGCCACCAAGTAGCACCTAGCTCTCAAGGCATTTTCTAGTGGAGGTATCAATTAGCTCTGCATAGATACGCACTTGTCCTACTTATGAGATTCTTGCGCCCAGTATTCTCGATAAGAAAGACTACACTGTTTGTAGGAATCCGCGTTGGCCGTTCCCATTTCATTCTTGATCTCTCGTATAGCCACATATGCCGTCGAATCGCTACATGATTGTAGTATCACCCCGTCACTTTGGACACCTGGTTCATGCACGATACTGAATTTGCGCCCGAGGAGAGCAGACAAAGGCTTGTCGATCGCTACAATCCGCTCGTCTTTGGTGTTGTAAAGACCAGCGGAGGCTGTAAAGAGGGCTTTGATAGAGGTATATGTCCCTTAGTCGGCATGAAAGCGCTCTGGATTGTTCATCGCAGCATGGAAAGAATTAAAGACAGGATGAAAGAGGCCAATGGGAGGACTAAACTGATCATATGGACGATCATTAAGGACTGGTCGTTTCTTTTGCTCGTTCTAAAATGCCGGCATTGCTGCAGCTGAAGAAGGGGCAAGAGTTGTACGGGCCATTGCAGCATCATGTTCTTGATCTAAGCTCAATATCGTAAATGTATATAAAAGTAAGTATATCTCATTCTCGCCTTCGTAAAGCTTCCGAAGCTTCGCAGTGCTTTTATCTCCCTCATGCTTTCGCTCAATACCCCATCGGACTGTGTTCCATGAATCAGTCGGGCCAATAACACCATGCAGCCGCTTACCGTCGTCGGATATTTCAAAAACAATGCCGGGTCGCTCAGTCGAAGATAAATCTTTGAATGCCTCAAACAGTGTTTGTGTATCAGCTAGGTGTTGATCCTCTGCCACACTATCAAGGGTCTCCTGGAGCACAGGTCTGTCCGTCGCAATCTTGAAGATGCGGTAGCGAAGTGGGCTGGCTTCAACGAGACCTTTCATTCGTTCATAGAGCTGATCTTTGAGGGAATGACAAACTGATCTGGCAGGATTCGGATTGAACAGGTGTTCTTGGGATTTCCGCCTCGCATCCAGCAATTAGCTTCCATA